GCCCCCCCCCCCCCTGCCTCCCCCCCCCTGCCTCTCCCCACCCTCTCCCCACCCCGGGGGAGGGGTGGGGGTCTCGGAAGGTTTGGCTCAGCCTGGCAGAACAAGTCTCTCTTACCACGTCGGGGGTCATTAATAACCAATTAGGAGGGTCACTGCCGCTCATATATAGCCCGGCGCCGCGGCTGTGCCAAGAGGAATCTGTCGGGGCTTTCGGCCGCCAGAGGCAAGGCGCCCACCGCCCGGGGCTACACAGCGCTCGGCCGCTCGACGTCCCCCGTGCCCGCCGCGCCCCCGGGTCTCCGCCCATGATGGGCTCCGTGCTCCCCGCCGAGGCGCTGGTGCTCAAGAGCGGGCTGAAGCCGCCGGGGCTGTCGCTGGCCGAGGTGATCACGTCGGACATCCTGCACAGCTTCCTCTACGGCCGCTGGCGGAACGTGCTGGGCGAGCAGCTCCTGGAGGAGAAGGCCAGCCACAGTAGCCCCAGGACGGCCTTCACGGCGGAGGGGCTGGCGCAGTCCTTCTCGGGGGGTGAGTCACTGCGCTCCGGCGCGGCTGGGGAGGGATGGGGGCGGCCGGGACCCCCCCTCCAGGCAAGGAAGAAAGCGCCCGCCTGGTCCTGCTGCTGCGGGCATCACCCGCGCGGTCCCCGGGCCTCTGACACCCTGGTGGGGCCGCAGCCCCTCCGGGGCTCACACTGCAGACGCCAGGCTGGCTCGGAGGCCCGGCTGCGCCCACCCCCCGGAGGACAGTAGCCGGCTCTTTCCCAAGCCCCCCGGTCTCCTTCCCTGCCGCTCTTCTTGGCGTTTTGACTTTCCCACTCCTGCCTCCAGCCTTTCCCCACTAGGCTCCGCGTTTCCCCGCCGCCCATTGAAGCGCTAAGCCCCTGGCATTTAAGGTCTTATTAGGCGTGTAATAGCAGTTGACTGCGAAAGAAGAGGGGTTTAATTCATTTAGTTAACTTGGGCTTGACCTGAGAAAGTTCCCACTTAAACCAAGACCTTAAAAAGGGGGCAGGGGCGGGGACGGGGTGAAGTTTCCTTTCTTTAAGATGTCTCAAGTTCTTATGCCCCATTCATCAACTCAGGGACAAGCTATTTTCTCTCGCTTTTGGCATCTATGGGGCGTCCAGGCTCCCTTTTCCCCCTCTAGGATTTCTGTTCCTCTCTTAATTTACCGTGAAGACTAATTCCATTGCCATTCACATTAGTCCAACCATCTAATCTCCCCATTTTGTAAGAGGAATTCCTGGACCCTTTTAAACAAGCCCTCGCGCCTTTCAGGCGCAGTGTATCGCTACAGCATTCTTCGGGGGCTAATGAATTTAGAATTAGCCATTGCTTTCTAGTTGGGCGTAATGAATGCAGATCACTTTAACAGCGTGACAAATTGCTGGACCGGCTGCAATAGACACCATTTAACCTCCTTTCTCAGCCCGGCGCGCTCTCACATTGCTTTTCCCAGGTACCCCCCCATGCCTCATTTGGAGGGGGGGCTTGTAAGGACTTGTAGGGTGCGAATGGGGCACTGCGGAGGCGCGGCGCTCGGAGCCGGCTTGCGGGGCCACAGGCGAGGCGGCGAAGTGGGGTTGCGATGTCCGAAGCAGGAGGGGAGGCGGGCGGGGAGGGAGCTGGTGAGTGCGGGAGGAGGGGGGGGGGGGGTTGTGCGTTTAGCCGCTGGGATCTCCACAGGGAGGGCGAGTGGGGCAATTCCTCGGCCATTTCCTCTGCCCCACAAAGCTCCCTCCCTGGCAGGAGGCCCTCTCCAGCCCCCATCGCCTCCCTGAAATGGACCGGGGAGAGGAGCTCAGCTTCGGAGCCCCTCGCTGGGCTGTGGTGCCTTGTCTCCAGGGAAGGGGAGCGCTCCTGCCTGCCCGCGGACGGGGGCGGATTCGGTCCCGAGCACAGACCCCTGGTGTCCGGCGCCGCTTGCGGGAAGGGGGGACGGCGGTGAGGGTTAGCGAGTGCGGGAGACGGTCACAGGTAGGGTCGGGGTTAGTTGGACAGGCGGGAGGGGCCAGAGGCGAGCCCGGATTCTCCCCCTTCTCCAACCCCCTCTTCTCTCTCCCCTCCCCGCAGAGGTGCAGAAGTTATCCAGCCTGGTCCTGCCCTCAGAAGTGATCATCGCCCAGAGCTCCATCCCCGGGGAAGGGCTGGGCATCTTCTCCAAGACCTGGATCAAAGCTGGCACCGAGATGGGCCCTTTCACCGGCAGGGTCATCTCGCCGGAGCACGTGGATCTGTGCAAGAACAACAACCTCATGTGGGAGGTAAAGAAGAGAGTGT